AATGCCATTTGCTAACTCTTAATATTCTAAATGCTAAATGTAATAGATTTTCCTAGGACATTTACTTCTATTCATACTTAATGATAAAAAAGTTGAATCTTATTGCTTGCCAGAATTTGCTTTTCTTTTCTCTAGGATTATATATTTTAAAGTGGATTTAAATATTCTGTGTCATCATTTTTAGCATTTTCTTTTTTGAAACGTGGAACTTAAATAGTATATGGGGATCTCTAGACAATCTTTAGAAGTTTCCTGAGAGGTAAGCATGTGAGAGGTCTTTATGAATATTTTGTTCATTAATACTTCATTCACTCAAAGAAGAATAAAGATTGACACATTGGATGAAGCTGACCGTAAAGTAAAGTGTTGATACATTTTAAGGCAATTTCTTAGTTTAGTGTATCATAATATTTAGGTATTCATCTGACCCTTTAGTTTTAATTTATCCAATACCATGTAATTTCTTAAAATTAGGTTAACTTAAAATACTACACAGCCAGGTGTGGTGGTACATACCTGTAATACCAGCCTCAGCAACATAGGGAGGCCTGAAGCAACGTTGCTATCTCTAAATAAAAATATAAAAACGGGGCTGGAGATGTTTGTTCAGTGGTTAAGGCCCCTGAATTCAATCTTTGGTACAAAACCAACAACCAAAAAAACCTACATAATGTCTTATTTAATATCGCTGTTCCATGTATTAAATATTAAAGGAACAATATCTTTATTCTACAAAATAAATCATTTTAAGTGCCAGTAGTGTTATGGTTAGCATACATTTGAAAATAGGTTAACTGATACTATCATACATTTTTTGCTAGTTTACATTTTTGTGAAATAAAACAGTGGTTCTCAAAAATTTTTGACTTAATATTTAATTAAAAATTACTGAGAGGAACCAGGAACCAGGAACCGTGGTACATGCCTATAATCCCAGCTACTTGGGAGGCTGAGGCAGGAGAATCAGCAACTTAGAGAGGCCCTAACTTTGGAGACTTTGTCTCAAAAAAGGGAATGAAACTAGGGAGATACAGAGAACTTCAAAGAGCTTTTGTTTAGATTATGTAAGTATTTGCCATTTTAGAAATTAAGACAAATCTTAAAGAAAATGTGTTTCAGAAGGAAGAGTGGCCTTATTTTACTTTTTTTTTTTTTGCAAATGATTTTCATGTTTGGCTTAGACATAGTAAGGAAAATGGTATTGTTTTACATTTTGTAAATTTGCTTAATGTTCTTCTCTATAGGAAATAGTTGACTTTCCATATTAGCTTTCACATTCCATCTCTTGCAAAACTTTTTTGGTGAAAATCCATGAAGAAAATATGCTTTACATGGATAAATAATAGAGGCTATCTTAATAACCTTTTTAGATAGTAGCTAGTATTCTTTGATACCTCAGTAAAACTTAAGTGGTAGTGTCTTAAAAGTATGTTTTGCAATAAAATCTATTGATGTAACTTGAATTTTGGATCTTTTATTCATGTATAGTTTTGTAATGTCATTAGAAAAATACTAATTCATTGACTTAATTAGACTGTTCAAATGGTTATGTTTTATTATACAGATTTTTGTTTTTTAAATCACCTTTTTTAATACCAGCCTCATTAGAAAATATAAACTAGATTCTCTGGGCAGTAATCAGTTTGTCAGGTAGTGTTATATGAATTAAAAATTTTGTTCCATTATGCTGGGTGTGATGGTGCATGCGTGTTATCCCAGCAACTCAGGAGATTGAGGCAGGAGGATCTTAAATTTGAGGGCAGCCTCAGCAATTTAGTGAGACCCTCTCTTACAAAATAAAAAGGGTTAGGGATGTGGCTCAGTAGTTGAGCACACTTGGGTTCAGTCCCCACACCAAAAAAAAAATTTTGTTTCATGAACACAGTAGTTCATTATGTATGCAACCCAATCACACAAATGCATTTTTTTAAATACCCATCCTACTTCATAAAGCAGTGCTCTATGCCTACATTTTTAACATTATTGTTGTTACATAGAATATTTTAAAGCATGCGCTCAAGGATAAAGGTTTAATGCAATTATTTTTAGTATTTCATTAAGGTATTCATAGTTGAAACTTTTAAATTATATCACGTGACAAATACAGTGATTACTAATTTTTAAAAAATGAATGTAAGTCCATTGATTTTGCTAAAATGCTGTTGTTTTTTCCTTCTCCTCCTTCTCCTCCTCCTCCTCCTTTTTTTTTTTTTTGCCAGCCAGTGCTTCAGCACTTTTAAATGTAGTGAAAGTTGATAAGAGTTTAAAAAAAAAAATCGTAACATCATAGTATTGTACAATATAGTGTTTTAACTCTTAGGGTTAGTAAAAGATGGAATAGTTTTCACCTCTACACTTCCTGAAAGGATCGATCCATGAACTGTACTTCGAAAACTCCCGTTTCCATGGGATATGATTAGATATGTGGTTCTGGAAATCACCTGTACATTTCTTCCCTTTATGTCATTTCTTTATTTAAATGCATGTGAATGACAAGCTTTTGAGAATACATCTGTGAAATAATTCTTTTTATGGAAGTGCACCCAGTTATAGAAATACTATAAATTGAACAAAAAACTTACCTTTTTTTAGGCCTCGGTTGCTAGAATTCTTGAATTAAGGTACTTTGTGAAGGTGGAAATTTTATGAACTCCATAGAATTTCACAGGGTAGCTTAACCACTTCATATCTGTGTAACCTCAAGTTAGTTATTTTAATAGCTTTGTGCCTCCACTTTTATGATCTCTAAAATGGGATAATAGTAGACATATTTCATGGGGTTGTATCAATAATTTTAATACTGAGTTATTATAATAGCTTTGTGTTTTTGCACTGCAGTCTTTTAAAGTGTTATAAATAACTTATTTAATCTAAAACCACGTCTCAATTTATGGCAAAGTAATAAGGCCTTATTAAAATTTGTTTAAAATTCAGTGATTTCCTTAAATGATTCTTAATTCCATATGCAACACATATAAAGTGATGAGAATTACCATCTTAAGTTCAGCTTATAAAAGCATCTTAATAATATAATCTCTTCCTCTTTTGCATTTTGCTACTAGTATGTAATATAGTGGATTTTAGAAAATAATAGCAACCTGTAAGGTTGAAAAGGAAACTGAAAAGTTTTACTCTTAAAATTGTGAGAAAATGTCTGGTATCAAATTAATGTCTTGAAAACTTAAAGAGAAAAGCTGTATAAGATAGTATTCAGTAGTTTCCCCTAATATACTGTCAACATTACTAAATGAAAGTATATATACATTTAGTGAAAAATTCTGTAGTTTGCAACATGAATTGGTATTTTCATATACTCATATGTTGTCTTAGATAAAGAATGATAATTAGAACTTCATTCAGCTTATAACAGCATCAGAAGGGGAATGTTAGTGCCACTATTTGTATAGTTGACTGAAAACTAAATCTCTTCCATGTTAATATTTCCCATAAATCTCTTGATAAAAACGAATTTTGAATAATACCAAAAGAAAGTACTTAACTTTGTGAATGATAAAGCTAAGCATTGCTGTTCCACAAAGTGATATATTAGAACTGAAAAATACAATTTTTAAAAGATTGTCTGTTCCTTCACCCCACCAAATACATAAATCCTGGTTCCCTCAAAAAAGTCATCATAGAAATTTATCATGTATTTTAATATCTATGATGTTAGAATGTAACCAGCTTCTCAATAATAAGTATCAATTATAAATAATATCTAGAATATGCTGGGTGTAGTTTATCTTTTTTGCACATCAGTAATAGTATCCATTAATGGGCAAGAATTTAATACTCATTTTTAGGAAAGTTAAAAAAATTCTTATAAGAACCTTGGCGTTTTAATTTTCTATGTAATGTGACAAAATATTTCTTACGATGGTGTGCTTGTTGTATCATAGCTTCTTTAATTGAATCATAGTTTAGTTAAAGATTACCTTTGGCATCTCCATTGAGGTTAGATGGGCAGTATTTTTTTTAAAAAAAATTTTTAAAGGAGCCATTTGCTATTTAATGACATTTCCATCATGTTTTTATTTTCTTTATTTCTAGTTTCATATATGCTTTTTACCAGTATTTTATATCATTAAACAGGAGTTAAAGTGAATGTTTAGATTTTAATAAAATTGATTTTAAAGGAACAGTAATGACACTTTGTTTAGATTTAAACATTCCTGCTTTTGTCTCGGAATGCTTTTCATGATTATTGCATTGAACACATTTGTCTGAGATTTGAAGTGGTCATCAGTGTAGAAATTGCAATTTCAAAATGTTATTTCATCATTTCTCCTAGATATTTCATTGAAGTTAATCTGTTATTGGTAAATAAAGTTTCTACCAAGTAGATTCTATAGTGAAATTTGAAAGGTTGTGAACATTCCTGTGACCTATCGTGTTAACTGTTAACCTGAATAGTTCATTGTTTCAGAACTTCCCAAATGTGAAACACTTTCATTGAGGTTTTAAGTAAAAGCATTGCCCAGTTACAGGAAAGAAGTATTGTATGGATCTTTTAGTAACTGCTTTTATAGAAACTGGGTGGAATGATGCTTGATTAGTTGAAAAATAACAAAGTGCAAGAATGAATTATAATATTTAGACAATAAATATCATCTATAACTTTGAAACTTCAGTAACTTGGTTGAAAAACAACTGATCCTAGTTATTATTACTAGATTTTCCTCTGCTTGAAATGTGGACATATATCTTTGATCTGTTGGGATAAAACATTTAAATAATCTATGGTAGGTTTTATGTAATCTGGTTCATTTGTAATCTAATCTTGTAATATAAACTGGTTCTAAACACTTGTAGTGTATTAAGCATGGGAGACAGAAGTTTCTTTTCTGTGTTCTTATTAAGTAAATGATGTTGGAAATTTTCAAAAATTTTAATGGAAAGTGATGTCCCAATTCATTCTTTTTTTTTTTTTTTGATTTTAGATGGGAAATGTAAAGTCTTAAGATCGATAGGTTGACTGTGACAACTATGTTTACTTACAGAGAGAACAGGAAATGAGAATGGGTGATATGGGTCCCCGTGGAGCAATAAACATGGGAGGTAGGGATTTGAAGCAAAAGCCTTCTGTAACTTACTTGTAATTCTTTGGGGATTGTATATGTTGTTTGTGATATCTGTATATCAGCAAGAAACTAAAATATGGAACCAACACTGAAGGTGAAATTTCTTATATTTATTAAAGTGAAGTACTACAATTGCATTAAAAATATATGCCTAGGGAGGAAATTTGAAAGATACACTTTTGTAGCTGAAATGAACAAAAATTACAAATTGGATTTGAAGTAGCCTCAAAGTAGCTCATTTGTTACATGGTGTAACAGTTCTTTTGTCATACTTTAAAAATAAAATTACATGCCTTCAAAATGGCTTTTTTTTTTTTACCTTGGAAATGGATAGTTTCTATTTGTGTTTTTAAATTTTTTTGAGAGCATTTTATGAATATTTTAAACTAGCTTTTTGTAACTTTGAAGCTGCTTTTATTCATGTTACTGAATATTTAACCTTTTCCTCTTAACTATGTATTGTACATGGAAGATTGGAGATAACCTATGACATAAAGAGACGAGATATGCCTTGCTAATGCATATCTTTAAAATTGGTGTGAACCTTAAAACAAAGTATCTTCGTTAACAACTTAATTTTAACTTGCAGAGCCAGGTTGTCAAGAATGTAGTGTCAAGCAAATAAACTGAGGGAGAAGTTGTTGTGGAATATCATAGATCTTAATAAATTTAAATATTGGATAATGAATTAAATTTTATATAGTCACTTCCACATTATATTGTCTCACAGAAGCTGTCATGAAGTTAAAATCTTTATATAGCTCAAATGGATATACTGTCTTAAAGATCATATTACTAGGACATCCAATATTACATAACTTGCATACCCATCTGATAGGTTCTTAAAACATGTAGTATATGAAATAAAACTTAAAACATGGAATGTGTATAATGAGCATTTTTGATGATTAGCCCCCTTTTTAAAAAAAAATAAAATAAAAACAACCTCCCAAAAAACCTTTGCCAGTTCTTTCACATTTCTGATCAGAGTACCTGGAAACATTAATTGCTATTTACTTAGTCATTTTTCCTATCAGACAACAAATGGTTACTGAGCATCTCTGATATACAAAGAAAGCATAAAACAAGGCCCTTGCCCATAAAAAACTTAATGATGAAGTTAGTTCATGAATACATGTTAAAATCAGTGAAGCAAGAATATAATTTCTAAATTATGAAATACAGTTGTATATAATGATGTACAGTGGTTCAGAGTAAATTCTGGAATGGTATAATGACAGTCCATGTGTTCTTTAACTGCACAAGTGAGGAGGTCATTATGGAATATAAGCAGTTTCAAAGATTGTCTTTAATGATAGAACAAAACTTTAACATAAAACTTAAAACTATTTCTGATGCTTCAGAGGGACACTGAGAAATATCCTCTTTGCTTGATTAATAATTTTATGACAGTATGCCTTTATATTCGTTATTTAGTTAGAAATTCAAGACAATTTAAATTTTTTTAACATTTCAGAGAATCATGTTTGTTTTAGCACTTATTCTTCTAAAGTGTGATTCATTTAATATTCTCTTCTTTAGTCTTCATTCAGTATGAGACTTTATCTTAATAGTTTACTCAAGTTATAATTTAGTTGGGTTTGTGTTGAGTAAGTGAAACTGTCATATTTCATCAAGTTATATTGATAGGGCTGGAGAGTATAGGTTAGTGCTAGATCATGTGCTTGGCATGCTGGAGTTCCTGGGTTTGATCCCTAACACAAAAATGAAAATGAATAAATTGTTGATTGAATGTGGCATCAGATTTTCTGGTATGCCACTAGTGAAATATAGATTATAAAACTGCTTTTCAGGTAACCAGGTAATGTCAACATTTCTTAGATCCTTAAGTTTAGTTTATTTATAGCTATATAGGTGGAAGATATAACTACATGTAGGTAGGAATATATATTTTTTTCTATTTGTGATGTTTATAGTTGTGCAACTTAAACTGACATAACAAGAAAGAAGGGGAAAGGCTTTAATTTTTTCTTTTTGGGGAATGTTAAGTTACAGTATGTCCTAGAACTGTCTTCCACCCTTTTTCATTTTTAGATTGTGGAAACCTGTTCAGAATGACAATTTGTTATTATATTGAAGGAATGGAAATATTTTTGGATAAAGTGTAGATTTTTCAAAAAGAACATTTTGGGATTAAGGAGATAATTCCTTCCTTTGAAATTGCTTCCTAGGGTTGGTTTCACAAAATGTGATGCCAGGCATTGATAGGGTATAAATTGTCTTTCTTTTACCTGCTCCTTTGACTCAACTCTATATATAGAGTTCAGCTATATTAAGTATTCTGTAATGAGAGTGAATGAAAACTTCAGCTCCTTTTATAATGAGTATTTGCAAAATTGAGTTCTGAATACCAGAAAATTGACCTACATAATGAAATACCAGGGGGAAAAAACCCTCAAAATTGTAATCAGTCACTTAAGAATTTTTAATGATAAACAAGCCTGAGCATAAAAAAGGGAAAAACTGTTTCAAAGAAAACACCTAAAAATGTTGTCTTTGAAACTGTCATGTATCATATTATAGCTCAGACCCTATTGTAATTAATTTTAGTAGATTGTTTTATAAAAAAATTTGATATGTCTCTATCTCCATTTCTAGAATTTTGAATGTTAAAAATGTCCATATAATCATTTTATCTGTGTTTGGGTGAATTTTTTTTAAGTAAGTTTCATCATGATGAGTCATTTTATATTATTTTGGTTTGGATTTTATTTTTTTAATGTTTGCAATTTGGGGAGATATTCAATTACTATATTAAAGTCAAGAATTTAACTTCAAGTGATTTTTGTAGAAAATGGTTTCCCTCTTACAACTTACTGTCATTTACACATTAATATTTTTAGCTATAATTTTAAGTGCTAATTGTTTGTTGATCATTAAGACTGATAAAATGTAGTCAAAATTGCTAGGGATTGTTTGGTTTAAAAGTAGGATTTAGTAAATGGTACTACTGACTTTTTGAAGCTTTTTTAAACTGTTGCAGTCTTAAGTATCCTAAAATTCATAGTTACCTTATTTGTTTTATGTGTGTTTATTTTGAGGCTGAAAATTGTAGAGTGTAGGTAATGTTCTGTTACAGAATAGATAATTGAGTGTCTTATTTTCAAGGAAAGGATTTTGACAATAGTTTTGGTGTATAGATTGCATAAGTTTTATAAAATTTTTAATGTTTACTAAACTAAGTTAGGACAGCTCTAAGTATAGATTGTTTTACATAGATGCGTTTAGCCCAGCACCTGCTGGTAACCAAGGTCCTCCTCCAATGATGGGTATGAATATGAACAACAGAGGAACTATACCTGGCCCTCCAATGGGTCCTGGTCCTGCCATGGGACCAGAAGGAGCTGCAAATATGGGAACTCCAATGATGCCAGATAATGGAGCAGTGGTAATGTATCATAAATATTATTTTGATTATATTCAGCTAATATACAATTCTGCCCCAAAGATAACTTCACACTTAAACATAATTTGGCATCATTTGTTTTAGCAAAGAGATTAATAGTCATTGAAGAAAAAGTAACTTTGTGAAGTTATATTTTGATTTATGAGAAGCACTTCTTAAGTAGCTTGAATTAAGATTACCATCCATGGCATGCTTTTGTACCCAAGTATATAGCAAAAAAAAAATAGTCATTACAGTTATTTCCAGTGCTTTTTATTTGTATTTACCTTTATCAGCTTTCAGTGCATTGGTTTAGTATTTTATGATTGTGGTCCTTTTCTGTGTAGACTCCTTGCCTTTGGTGGGGACAGAACTCCAATATATATGAAAATGCAGTTTTCAGTAGACATTTTTTATTTAAAAAATGACTTGTTTTGATTTATATCAAAGTACTTATTTTCATTGTAAAGTATTTTAATGTAAAAACACTAGAAGTTTTTTTGTATGTTCTAAACTGACACTGCTGTATTCTTTTCACAGAATTACTAATTATACTTATTAAATTTAAACTTTTTAAAGTCTTTATCTGAGAGTGTGAAGATATCTTTGTATGGGTTAAATATTATAAAAACAGTTTCTCAATTGTAATTTTTATTATATATTATCAGTAAACAAGACTGATAATCTTATCATTTTCCATATGCCACTATTTAAATGAGGCTTTATAATAGAAAATATTATTTCCTCATGTGGTATTTGTTCATGGATTTCAAATAACATCTAGAAAGAAAAAGTGGTTGATTGTATATTTTGAAAAGACAGTTTGTTTTTGAACTTTCCTATCAGATGTTAAGGTACCATTGCTGCTATAAAAGAGAAAACACTTCCAGTTAAACTCAGACATTCCATTAGTGTAAATCCATGGTGATCAAGAGGACTCTAAAAATAAGATATTGTATGCTTGAGTGGTAAAGTTTTTGTTTTTGTTTTTGGTGGCACATATAATGCCCTGGGTTTGATCCCATCCCCAGCAGCAGAAGCAGCAGCAGCACCCCCCCCCCCAAAAAAAAAATTCTTGCATTTTAGAATTGAGGAATGCAGTATTATCAGTTTTAGATTTACCTTAAATACAGTCTTTTAAGAATTTGGAAAAAATTGGGTGTGCTAACAGTTGGGAGTTTTTAAAATTGATAGTTTGTGCAGGCAGATAAGGAGATAGTATCTTTTTATCTACTATGAACAGATGGCACCTAATGCAATTAGTATTTATTCCTTTAGTAGAGGCTGAGTAAAATATCAAACGGCTAGTAAAGCCTGGCGTGTTGGCACACGTCTATAGTCACAATGGCTCCAGAGGCTGAGAAAGGAGAGTTACAGTGCAAAGCCAGCCTCAGCAACTTAGGGAGGCTCTTAGCAACTTAGTGAGACCCTGTCTCAGGGTAAAAAAGGCTGGGGATGTTGCTCAGTGGTTAAACACCTCTGGGTTCAACCTCTGGCTTAAAAAAAAAAAGAAGGCTCCTAGTAGAAACTTCATTATTTAAAATTTTTTTTTTAGCATGTAATCATAGTAACAAAGAAGTAATTGTTCTATTTTTCTTCCCTTTCCCTGAAATTGTATACCTTATTTAAATATCACTCACTCGGTTTTATTTACATTTGTTTTACTACTATCTTCAAGGAGTTCTTTTCAACCCTTGAGATTAATATGTGTAGTTATTGTTGTGAAATTTTTCAAAAGATATGATTCAGATTTTTAATTGTGTTATTAATGGTAAGTTAATCATTTTAAAAAATTTATTTTCCCAATGCTAGTCTTTTAATGAAAACATCTCAGAAGTTTCATATTGAAATCATAAATCCTTGCGTGTGTTTGGTCTAGTGCTTTGTGTCTTAAAAGCATTGATGAAGTTTTTATGTTTATTTTTTAAAACAATATGATGCTGCTCCCCAGTTTTATTTCTCTGGGTTTTCTTTTAAAAAGAAGTACTTTTCTTTTACAGCATAATTTCATGCAGTATAAACTTTTTAAATAAAGGAATCTGAGCAATATCATAATTTTGGCTAAATATAGGCTAAAATGTCATTTGCTTATGTCATAATAACAGGTTTTTTTTCATGAAATTGGGGCATAGCATTAGCAGTTTGTAAGTCTTCAGATGCTGCTTTTTTATTTTTAAACATAGTAACTAATTAAATTGCTCCTTTCTTCCTTCTATGTGTGATCCTGATTCTGCTGGACTTTCTGCTGAACTTCATGACACCACCACTTGGGATTTTGCCAATTTTTCTTGTCACTTTTTTTTGGTGTGTTCCAAATGGACTTCATATTTCTTATGTGGTATTATAGCACAATGATAGATTTCCCCAAGGACCGCCATCCCAAATGGGCTCACCTATGGGGAATAGAACAGGTTCTGAAACACCTCAAGCACCAATGAGTGGTGTAGGTCCTGTGAGTGGTGGTCCTGGTGGCTTTGGTAGAGGAAATCAAGGGAGCAACTTTGAAGGTCCTAATAAGCGTCGTAGATATTAAACATTCTTTCATTCCTGGCTATTTAGAAAAAAAATTTCAGTGGTATGCCTTTACACTTTTACCTGTTACCTAAAATAGTTTTATTGTTAATGTATGTAGACATAAACTTTTTCTTTTGTAAGATTTGAGGTTTTTGTATTTTTCTTTATTCATAAGCTTTGTAGATTAGAATGGTAATGATGATGCTCATCATTGTGAATGTTAAAATGTATTTGTGACTTAGCTAAATATAACTATGCCATAGTACTGTGAAATCTATGTAGTTACTTAATCTCAATAAAGAAATCATATTGGATCATTTAAAAATGTTATTGGTGGTATTCTCTTATGGTTTTACTAAACTTTGCTGTAACAGTAATAGTTTGGTTGCTTCAACTAATCCCAGCCGTTTAAAAAGTGAGAATTATTTTGCTTTTTCGTCTGTGCACATAGTCCTAAAGATAGAGAAGCTTAGTGGAAGCTAATGTCAATAAAGGGGAGATGGAGCAGTATATCTGGGGATGGTGGGCATGCATTTAATTTGTATAAACCATTGCTGTTCTGTGAAATCGGACTTGCTGCCTATATTTCGTACAGATTCTAAATATTCACATACTCTGAGAAGTTTAAGGGTATCTTTGTCCTGTGGTTTTTTTTCCCCCAAAAATAAATCTTCTGAATCTTGAAAAGAACTGTTTGAAAGTAAATCTCTTCTGCTTATAAAATAACATAGTTTTAATCTTGTCTGCCAACCTCTATTTGCTGTCAAATCTAGGTCTTACCCAATTATATAGGTAGTATTAAATTTTTAAAAAAGATTCAGTACTGTTGGATTGGCAGTTAATGAGGGTTTTTTCTGTGTGATTTTGTGGTTGACTAGGTTTCTTGAGAACATTGGTATTAAAAAGATGACTTAATTGTTGAAAATATTTTCCTATAGTTTCACTTTCCTATAAAATTTGTTTGTCATCCAGGACTCTGTGTTTCCAAGGAATATAGTTTCATATGTTGATTTTTAAAAACCTCTGATTAACTCCCTCATCTTTCAGATACCTATTTTGAATTTTGATTTTCAATATTTGGAAGAAACTGATTTTATCACATTAATGTTTATCTCAAAACAAACTCATAGATATATTTAAAAATTTGTCATGTTTATTTAAAATTACATTAAGGATATGATATGTCAAGAGCTTTGTAATGTTTTGAACAACCAATAAAAAAGTACATGTATGAAGACACACACACAAAAAAAATTACATTAAGGAACTTCCTGTTTAATTTAAACTATAAATCTAATTCACCACCCACTGATGACAGCAGTTGTTTCTCACATAACATTTTTTTGTATATATGTATATCAGACTTTTACCACCTTTCTGAAAAATAATTTGCTGTTTTTAGGTAAACAGTATGTAAATCATGCCATTTATTTTTCCCATGATGTCAGTTTTTGGTAGAGGGCATATTTTAGAAAGAAATAATCTTAGTTAATTTAAAACCTTCCATAAAAGCAGTTGGTTGTAAAGCATAATTAAGGCTTATTCTGTTGTACCAGATAATATTTTATCTGCAGTATTTCTTATTATATATTTTTGTAGTCAGAACAGTGTGTTTGGAATTATTGTCTAAAACTTGGAATATTGACAAGCTTTTTTTTGGGCAGTTCTTTGAAAACAATTAGAAAATAATAGTCAAAAGACTTATTACTATTTTTCTTGAGTGTAAGGTGGCAGAGAGTGGAATTTGTTTTAATTTGTGATACTAACTTGGATATGAGGACTTTTAAAATTAATTACAGTTTTAAGTGATATTTATCGCACTTAAGTACCTTTCATATAACGTGTTTTATTTATCTAATCCTCCAGTAATTTTTAGCATTGTATTTCATTCAAAACTGAATTCAGATTGGGAGAAACTTGTTCCTTTGATGTTAATACCAAGCTACCTTTTGCCAAGGCTGTGAAGTTCTGTATGATACATTCAAGAACATTTGAAAGCCAGTGCACAAAGATTTCTTAATCTCCTGAACATCCTAGTGTCCGGGCTCAACTCTGGCTCCAAGAACAGAGTTCTACACAGCTTTTCCCCTGCATCAAGAAAATCCTTGTTCCAGTACTTACCAAGTTTATCCTGGGAACAGTCAGCTTCTGAGTGACAGTCAAGTGGAGCATCTCTGAACTCTTAGTTATTCAGTTGTTAGTGTTTTTGTATAGTTAAATAACTTCATGGCTGGTAATTCAATATTTTTTCTTGTGAATTAGTATGCCAAGGAACATTTTTTTGAATGTCATTTACATAAAAGTGGTAGATATAAAAATGAAGAGAAAATTCAATAGTGTTAGCTTTCTAAATAAGTATGAAGTTGTCTTATATGCTATCATTTTTTTACATAAAAAGATTAATATGAAATAATTATAATAATCACAGTGGGTTTTTTTGCGGAGGGGGGGTGTATGTGTGTGTGTGATGATTTTAAGTACCAATTTTAAAGTCTTCGGGATTTAGGTTTCATATGCTTTCTGTAGTTAAAATGTGTAAAATAAATGTACTTTGATTTTTCTAATTCTTTTATTCTAGCAGTGTATTTTGTTGGAATTTCCCCCATTTTTGTTCATTTTGAAAGCAAATGAATTGATGTTCTTGACAGATGTAGCTTTTAAAGTAGTTTGGTTTACTGATATTTCATAGATATAATTTGTTATTCTGTGAGTTTAAAAATTTTTTTTCTTAGATCAGTGCTGAGCATTAAGTCAAAAGAGATTAAATATTTGTTTTTAATTCTACAATAGTATATTAGGGGAAATAATCCATAATTGCTGTTTAATGGAAATTATCAACAAGGACAAAAACTTTGGCTTTTGTTTTGCAAACAGTAAATTATACTTTTATGGTTTATTAAAGACATACTTTTTAAATATTTCAGTAGCTTTCTCTTTATGCATGAAGTGTAATAATTGATAAATATCACTATGAATGACTAAAAGTCACTAATTCATGGTGGTTGATGGTTACAGTATACATTCTGAAGGAGAAAGAAGACAAATGTGTGATTGAAATGACGAGTTGTGAAAGAATGCAGTTGAAAGAATGTGATCGAAGTGTGGAAAAAGATTTAAAAGGATTGAAATTTAGTGTCAAATGGTACTAGTCAAAAATAGAAGGGCCATGTCATTTTGAAAACAACAGAGGATGTAGTTTCCTGGAGAGAGAGAGATATTTAAATGTTTTTTGTATAAGAGTTTTGTTGCAATATCTAATATGATTTTCAGAGGATTGCAGTGATTTTAAAAATCGAATCTCTTACTTTCAAGAATAAAATGATGAATTCTTGTTTATAAGACCCAGTAGTAAATATTTTACTGTATTCACTTTCTGATTAGATTGTTTGTAGTCATGGGCTTTTGGCGGGAGAAGAAAAGACAAATACCTCTACTGTTACTTCTGCTGTAAATATTTCAATACCAAGCTGTTGAAAGTGAGGACATTTTTAAGGCCAGTTTCATACCAAAGAATACTGATCTCCATATATCAAAGCAAAAAGTGCATTTCTTAAGTTATATATACCAGCATAGGTTTATTTTATCATAAAATGCTCATATAATTAAATAAATTAGCAGTCCCCTTATACTTTTATAGAAGACCATTGTCTCATTTTCATAAGCCTTTATGACTTAATTTTTAACAATAGGAAATAATTGTCTTATGTTCCCTTTACATATTTTCCAAAGTTGTATAAAACAAAACATGCATACAGTTGTTTCACAGTTGACCTTCTGATCAAGTAGTTTAGATTCTAACTCTGAAATAACAAAAAATTGCAGAAATTTCTGTGTCAGGTCTTTAAAATCTGGATTTATGTGTTACATATTTCCTTTTAAAACTATCAAAAGTGGTATTTTATGTGTTGTAAAAAACATTTTGAGGTTTTTGTTGTTGTTTCCTGGTAACTAAATAACAGTATTAATTATTGAAGTTTGAAACTTAAGAAAATATTTAAAGGCTCTACCATAGTGCTGTGTTATCTAAGCATTTTATTTGCCCTCTTTGTCTTTTTTTTAGTACCTGTTTAGTTTATAATACCTATAAAAGACCTCTTTGTTGAACTTATTTGGTTATATTTTTATTTTAGCATGTGTTTTCTATATTTTGATTTGTCTTTGGAGAAACAAAAGCTTATTATTTCTGGTTTGAAGTTATTAAAATTCTTAACATGATGTAGCCAGAGTTCATGTATATACATTTGGAGAGAATTCAAATATATTGTATTATGACTTGAAGCACCATTATTGTTACCAACTCTTCCTCTTCCTCTGCAGCAAATACTTTTGTTGATTCTAAAAGAAATCCAAATCATAATTGTTTTTCAATTTCTTTTTCTGGGTTAAAGAAATGAGCTTTAGAAGTAATGGTGTTCAGCTTGTTAGTGTCTATAAAATTTTACTTATCTCTTAGAGGTATATATTCACCCAGATTTCATGTTATACCCTTCACACCCAAAGTTAAAATAGAATTAGTAGAAGTAGGAAGAATTAAGTGGAAGTTTACTTGTTTGAACATATAAATTTTTTCCCTTTTTAAAAATATTCCCCATATTTTAAAATAATTTAGTTGAAATTTTTTTTTGGTTATTCTTTAAATACAGGACCCTGCCTTATATTGACAGCAATGTAAGTGGACCTCGAATTTCTTAAATACTATATGTAAGTGGTTTGTTGTTTGTGGTGAAGACTTTAAAATTGATAATTATATGTATTTTTTCTAGTTCTTAGACAACTTCACATTTTCATTTTATATTTGTATTGTGTATCTCTTTGTATGTGAGCTACTGTCAAAAATTTCATAGCCACAATCAAGTTTTGTATTTTTCCCTGGATCTATGAGGTATACTTTTCATGTTTTAGGTTCTTTTATGGAAAAAGACATTAATATTTGTCAACTGACCAGGCTTTTGTGAATATGAATGAGATTTTGTGTACGTTTTTGGATTTTATAAGAACTATGTAAATATAATCCTTTGCCTTATTATTTGTGCCATGTTTGGACTATGAGTTACCTGCGTTTTTATTTTTATATGACTATTGAAATAATTTATTTTTGCGAATTATCTCAAGTTTGGAAGTGCAGAAAACATCTTATTGTACATTAGTTAGAGTAATTGTTCATTTTTTCTTCAGAGTATTTGCACATTACTAGATAACATAAACCAATATCAAATTTGAGATGTTCCTTAGTTAAATATGGTGGTTAGTGTTTTTATGTAATGAAAAACTAAACTGAATATCACATAGTCATTCTGTAAATTCTGTCCTTTCTGGTGTTAGAGACAATCCCAGTAATTTGCTCTGTAGTATTTCGCATATTTTAATTTTTTGAGCTAATTAGAACTTTGTGCATATTCCCAGACTTGACTATTTTATACATTGGCATAACTTTGGTGTCAGTTTAGCAAACTGAAAATGACTGGAATAATCATCTAGAAAATCATATTTTCTTAATCAGATAGGATTTATGGGGAGCCATGCCATTTAGAATTTTGCCATGAGCATTGATTTATTGTAGTAGTTGGTATTCAGAGGTTGTACTATATGTGTTGGGCACTTATGTAGGACTTACAGTACAATAGTGGAAGAAATTCATTCTCTAAATTAAGGAAAGCAGCCACAGACATTGTTCTAAAGTGGTGGTT